GAAGTGAAATCACAAGCCTCCTCTTTCTAATACAACCATTTTCTTCAGTGTTAGCAGTACAGAAGACTCAAATCTCTTGGAACTCTATCGAGGGGAGGAAGAAGGGAAATGGTTTGGGCTTCATTCCCTGAAACATAGGAAAGTTAATACACTCCTTCGGTACTTACAGTAACACTGCAGGTCTGACTGCAGGCTGCAGCCTCTGCCCTCTTGCTCACTACGTTCTCCTTTGTTGTTACACTTGGCTAAAACGACAAGGATGAGTGAGAATCACACCTCGAGCAGCGTTAGAGCAGGGTAACGCGTAGTGGGCACGCGCCTAAATTCCCCTTGGCTTCAGCCGCTGAGCGCCCCCCTCCCAGCCCCTCGCCATTCCCAGGGGCACCCTGAGGCGGGGAGCGCTGCCCGCGGCAGGCCGAGAGGTGGCGGCAGCGAGCCCGGCCCGGCCCCGCCGCGGCTGCCGCTCCGTGAGGCGCGGGGCGCTGGGAGCCGCCGGAGCCCCAGGCTCCCGGGGAGGCCGCAGGGCCTCAACCCCGCTCTGGGCGCCCGCAGCGGGGCCTCCCTTCGTCCCAGCAGCCCGGGGCAGAGCGCTGGATGCCGCTCAGCCCCGGCGCAATAAACGTGCATCTCCCCTGGGGGGTGAGGCCTTGTGCTGTGGGCGTTCAGCCTGCATCTCCCTCACCCTTACCTGTCCCGCAGGGCGTTGTGCAGCCTGCTCGCTTCACTGGGAGGCTGGAGTGGAAGTGCTGTATTGCTGTCCTGGCCAGCCCCAGAGATGCGCTGCTGCTAGGGCTGCCTCATGCCGGCAGCAGATGTCACCCTGATTTCCTTCATGTACCACAGCACAGTCTGAGGGTTCTGCTAGCACCCTGAAATCCCCCTGAAAGCCTACTGCCACCTGCCTCTTCCGTGCACTTGCTTGTGCCCATACATCCTTAGCTACAAGGCTCAGAGGGCTCACTTGTCCAGCCTTCCACCTGCTTTGGGGTTCAGTATATGCTTGGACAACTTGGGGAGTTAATCTCTCGGTTCATTCTTGTCCTCTGAGAATAAGACACAAGTATGGAAGAACTCAGAAGCATCCTTTGCATGCCCCATTAGTTCCAAATTCCTCAATAATCATATTTGTTCATGGGAAACTTACTCTTCTTACAGCAACTTTGGCAGAAGTTGATTAAAAAGAGATATCAAGAGGCTTGTAAGTGACATTAGGATCTGGAAAGTTGCTATTTTGTAGTAATTATACTTCCTTACAGTACTGTAAGGTTATTCCATTCACTGCAGAATATTTGCTATTCAGTAAAACAAGAAAAGCTTTTCTATACTGTTCTTTAAGCCTCTACCCGCCTAATTTGAGTAAATTTTTAAATGGTACAAGTGCAGAAAAGTCAAGATTATACTTGATAGGTGATGCACATTAGCTGGACACAAAACAGATGCCTCTTCACTTCCTATCATGAGCACCATCCAACACTGGACACTTAAGGTATAGCACAGGAAGAAAGCAGTGTTTCCCCACTGTGGTATTATCCTCCCAGCTTTCAGCAGTTTCTGGTATATCAGAACCTGCCTCAAAAATAGTCTTCTTGGGAAACTAAGGCACCAAGAAATGTAAGAATTCTTTCCCAAGGTCTTGAAAAGAAAATGGAGAATTGTTTTCAGAGCCTTAGAGTAGCAGTCCATGATACATTGCACTTATATTTTGAAAAACTCACGAGGAGAGAAGTCACGATGGCTGCAGACAGTATGTCGCTCAAAGGAAAGGGATGTGCTAATCTTAAAACTGTGAAACCTATTACTGCTCTGTAGGGGCAGCCTTATTGTTTTTGTATCATTTTGCACAACAGGTTCCAAACACAGTTGACTGCTAGGACTGACTTCTAATGGGCAAGATTTTCCAGAAGTAATTTGTAGAAGTGTCAGAGAGAGGCTTGCTTCATTTGTCAATTATTTAGATTAAACATTCCCAGTGGATGTAATACAGGATGAAGACTACAGACCCACTCTGAATAAGAGCACAAAAATACTTAGTACCTTGGATCTTCCAACCACTCTGAAGAAACATAGCGGGGTCTCAAGAACTTTCAGCTTTACCAAAAGTAAAATTAAGTTACATTTAATCCAAAAAGATACATAAAACTATCAGGCCCACCATCTCAACTGATTCCCCCAAGACTTTCCAAAAACATTGATAATGCACATGGTTTCCTGTGACTGCACACAAATCTCCAGCTGTGTTAGTCTCTAGTTCCGACTTGGAATAAGATAAAACAAATGTCACTATTTACCCCTGCATGAAATAGGCATATACTTCCTTGAAAAAGTCAGACTTCTACAGGACAACGAAGAATGAAAAAAGTTTAGGTTCCTTGTTTCCAGGCCAACTAACACAATTTTTATCGATTCCATTTCCACGAACCTATGCACCCTCCCACATGCGTACACACCTGCACCCTTCTTTTTATAAAACCTGTCACAATCCAGTGTTGCAAGACACCAACCTTTTATTGCATCCTATGTCTACTCTTGCAGGTTTACTATCTTTGTTGTACTGCCATCACAGCCACCATATATTCTTTCCCCTTTTGAGAAGGTCTGTCACTGAAGAGTTAATTCTGTCATGCATCATTGTCATGAACTGGAAGAGTGAAGTCTGTGAATGACAGATTCTAGAGGTTTCTGCAAGATGCAGATCAGGTGAATATTCTGGTTAAGTTAGCACCACACGTTCTGTAAACAAGCCTCCCCTTGGGAACTGCAGCCTCACTTAGACTTGTAGAGACTTGTCTTCAAGTATGAGAATTTGAAATCTAGTAAAAAAATTAACCTAATAAAATAATACCTTAAAAATCATAGATGCAAAAGTAAATGCAAACTAAAGAGATGCAAAGCCTGCAGAAATTAAGCTATTATAATGCCAGGATAATTATCAATCCCTTCTGAAAGTCTTTAAATGGATTATCAAGAAGAGACGTTTCTTTTTATTGCTATCTTCAGTGATACTTTAATATCCTTGACTTGCCCTTAAATATCAAATAAAGGCACTCTGATTTATGAGGATTAAAAAAATCTCTTTATTTATGGTATCGCAGTGGTTTCACAATAAATGTAACGGCATGTTGCCAAGGAATAAAAGCAATTTCAGTCATACTCCTAGGTGAGAGCTACCATTGCCTTTAGCCTTCAGACTGGGCAAAGCAATGGACTCCTTTTA